ATGACATATAGCAATATTTCATTAGTAAAAGAGATTGATATGGTGTTTTTAAATGGCAATATATCAGCATATGAAGATATTGGGATATTTTAATGTATCAATATTTTTTCCCTCGTCTTTAGAAGTTTTTAAGTCTGTAAAAAAGAAGTTTTTCAGGAAGAAGAAGAAGAAGTAGTATTTTTTTTTTTTTTTTAGAAACTCAGAATCTGATCAAATATCGGGTTAAATATCGTTGGGGTGGCCGATGTCCGATATTCAGTTTTAAGGCCGATACTGATAGGGGGCCGATTATATCGTGCATCCCTACTATTAAATTTTATATTTTGTCTAAATTTATCTATCTATTTCAGCATCTTCCAATAAATGTTCCTAAGAGCTTCTTCAAAGAACTTAATAAAAGTATAACTACTTTTATATGGCAAAGGAAAAAACGCTAGAGTCAAATCCCAAAAGGGGAGAACTTCACCTACTGAACTTAAGGAATTATTATCTGGCCTCTCAGTACCGATTAATACGGATGAGATTAGATGGGTCCCAATAGAACATGAGATGAAACCTATACCTTTAAAGCATGTTCCATTCTTGGGTATGAAGAAATGTTTAGCCACATTAACAAACAACCCAGTAATACTGAATAGCTTTACTGCTTGGCAGGAATCTCATTCACTTCTTGGCATAAACCTCTCCTTTCTTAGAAGAGCACCTTTGTGGGGAAATCCCAGCCTCTCACATCACATTGCTGACTCAGCGTTGCAGGAGTGGAGGGATAGAGGAATCCAAACTGTTGCTGATTTATACATTAATATGTTTTTTCAATTTTCGTCAGTTAAATGAAAAATTTAAGCTCAACAAAGATATTTTCTTCATTTTTTTTACAAAGCAGAGACTGGCTTAAAGAGAAATCAAAAGAAACATTCCCAGACATCCCAAAAGAAACTCCTCTTGAAAGCCACCTATGTAATGAATCATGCACATCAACAAAAGGAATAATATCTTCTATATTATGGTATCATCAACGGAAAGTTACCTGCTTACGATAAAATAGTCACAAAGGGAAATGGGAAAAAGACTTAGGGTGTATTTATGAGGAGGCATCATCTATTGGAACAGGCACAGACTGTGCTAACCTCCACAAAACACAGACTAATTCAGTTTATTATATTCCATAGGACGTATTACACTCCTTACAGGCTGCATAGAATTGACAGTTAAATTTCCTCCAGGTGTCAGAGATGTAAAGTGACTGATGGGGATCTTATGCACGTGCTATAGAGTTGCCCAATGATAAAAGGACTTTGGAAATGTGTCCTTGTGATAACTTCAAGGGTGATAGGAATGCAAATTAAACAAGACCAGATGAATGTGCTCAGATGGATGTTTCTGTACAGAAATGAAAGGATATTGATAGAAAGGAGGTGGGGGTGGGAGGGGAAAAGTTTATTATATATTGTTTCATTGTTTTATTTTGGTGTTAAAAATTAAAAATCATCTTCCTTGTATGGTGTGTCTGTAAGACTATATATCAATAAGAGTGTTTTATAAAAACACAATTTTCAGTATAACTGTGAATGCTTGCTATACACCATAAATATCTTGTAAAAGATTCTGTTAATAGAACAAATTTTTTAAAAAAAAATATAAACATGACAAAGCAGCCACAACAAGCAAACATGCCTTTATTGCTGATGTTCAAAAAAAGACCTTTTATTTTCAAAAATTAAAAAACAAAAACTTTGAGTCATGTTTGAACTGATGCAGCTTTTCAATTTTTATGTATATATTTATAAACTAGAAGGTGTTAGCTTTCAAATAAGGTGTTACACATGTAATCCGGGCTTTTTCCATTTGGGTTTGCAAAGAATTTCCCAAAATTTGGTTGATGTTAAGAGGATAAAGGCTGATTTATGCTCATAAACCAGGTTGTTGTTGCATGTGTGTCACAGTTAATGCAGATATGCCCCGCCCCTTCTGCAGACACTCTGCTGCAGCTCTCCAAAATTGTAGGTGACCACAGACAGGAGTCCTCTGATTGGTCAAATCTGCATCGGCTCTACACTATTCGTATTCGTATTTCCTGTTTGGTACCGTACCGGCTTGTTTTGTTTGTATGACCGCCATTGTGGAAAACAACTCATGAAGATGGACCAGCTAGAAGAGCGAGGTGCACGAGAACTCTGGGACCCTTTATCCACCTGGATCCTCGCTCTTTTTCACCCTCATGTCCCTCCATTGTCGCACAAACTTGCCCCCACTTCCTCACTTCCTCGGCCGTATCTAGACCTACAGCTAGTTTCTGATTGGCCCTCTTGCGTTGTGGCACGGAATAATATAGCACAGACCACGCTTCAATATTGGGCATCAATCAAAAATATCTGCAACAAGCTAACAGCGACACACTGCTGAAGAAGAATAACCAGCCGTTAAGGCTGTGATAGTGAACACTTCTCCTTTGCTGAGATAATCCATGCCACCTCACAAGTGTGCCATATCAAGATGCTGATTAGACACCATGATTAGTGCACAGGTGTTCTTCTTTGGAAAAAAAAAAAAAGTCTTAGTATTTATCCATAAGATGCCATTTTAATTTACAGAAATAAACTGAATCCTTCGTGTTTTTCTTTTGCCAATTCTATGAGACTTTTCTAATTTGTTTATAGTGGTTAACATAAAATAATGATGTAGAAAGTTGAACCTAAATCCTGTTGGAGGCGGTGCCATCCCCGTTGTGTCAGAAAGGTTCCCACTGTGCTTTGCCCTGGCAGAGAGGGAGCAGGTGAAGATCCGCCATCTTGGTAACATCCTTTTCCGTGAGGAGTCTTTAGCTTTGAGCCGTTCTCTGTGTCTGGATGTCGTCTGCAGAGCTTCTCTAAGTGTTAAGCTCTTCTTTTTAATGACATCCGCTGTGGTAAATCACACACGCAGTCAGATGTTTACATCACTGAGGGTTTATTTAAACCAGGCTCGGTCTCTGATTTACACAGCTCCTAATTATACAAACAGACGCAGATCCATAAATATCTGCAGCAGTGTTTGCTCAGCACCTTTCTGCATGGCTCCTCTGGAAGAGATGCTGCTTTTGCCTCAGCCTTTTTCATTTACTGTTGAGGTGTTTGTTTCCCTCTTTGATTTCTCTTTGGGTGCTAAAACTTTCTCCCCATGTTCCAAAGTAGGTTTAACAGCATTAATTACAGTTTCTATAAGAGCGTGCAGTCAGCAGTCTACCAACTGTATCCCGCTTCTGACCGTAAGGCGATAGCCTCGATAGCCTTCAGCTTCCATTTGAGGATATAGTGGGTGTAGAGAAGGAACGCAGGATCATGTCCTGAAACACGCTTGCCGTTAAACATTTTTATCAAGGCTTTTAGGACAATGTTGGCCTCCTTCATTCATCCCACTGATTCAGGTTTAGTTTGCTTGATATTAGGGCTCATTAGTGGGGAGAGTTGGCCTAGTGGGTAGAGCAGTGCTCTTATGCTCTGAGAAGGTTTCAAGTACCCGGTTTGACCCCCACAGCCTCCACTCTGGGTTCCTGAGGAAGACCAAAGGGATTTACATTAAGACGTTCTGACCATCAGACTGGTTTGAGGGTGAAGTTACAAAGTTTTGCAACCTGTTCTTATCAGGATTACCCAAAACACCAGTAAACAAGTCCAACAGCATGACGATCCCACCACCATGCTGCCTGATAGAGTCTCCAATAGCGGTTCCATCAAAGAAGCCGTGTTCGTCTCACTTTGAACGAGGCCTGACTGCCTTATTCCAGGAGTCCAAACAGACCAGCTGCTTTTGGAACAAACATCGCAGATGTTTTTTTGTTTTGTTTTTTAATTCTCAGTAGTTTAAAAGCAAAGACACTTTCTGACGCATCACATGCTTTTGTTTCTGTCTGAGGCACATGCAGGGGTGAAACTAAGCCTGAACAGTCCGGTACTGCGTACCAGTAAAAGATTTAGTTCCAGGAAGAGCTGCTGTCTGTTATGTTGTGTCACAGATTTCTGCGCAAAGTTACCAACTTGGAACTTGGAAAGACGCTCATTGCACGGTCGACTCTGCCCTCGCTACTTAATTAATTATGTGTGGCTGAAAAACCGTATCTGCCAAGTGGAGATAGTGTCTAGTTTTAGGTATTCTATGGCCCACGAGAGGTGATGCAAAACTGTCTTCAATTTATTCCCAAGGAATCTCAAATATATCCAGAATAAATATTTTGTTGCTTATTGTTTATTTTTGGATAAAGATCCAGATAAGAATCCACAAACATCATCTCTAAATGTTCCTGCTTCTATCTGATCAACTAGAATGTAAATGTTTTCCTGTATTGTCATAAAAACGTTTGTTCTGTTTTCTTTGAATATTTCAACATTTAGAAATAAAATATTTCTTAAATTAAATGTGTTAATGTATCTGCAGGTTCTCTGTTTATTATTTTTTTTATATCAGACCCCTATGAAGTGATTAATTTATATTGGTCTCAATCTGAAACAAAAATAGAAAAGCATGCAGGGTGTAATAGACAGTACCAGCAAGAATGAATTTAATTTACTTTCACACCTGGGAACATGACAACGTGATTTGTTAAGAACTGCTTTTGATTTACGCTGTTTAGAGAGGGACATGTATGAAACTTTAGCCAAAATGAACCACAGTAATAGATCATTTCCTTCCACCAGGTGCTTTTCAGCTGCTTTGACAACATCTAGCATATGTTCTTGTCTTCAGACATTAAAGAATTGAACAATCCAGAACGCTGCTAACCGTCATGTTTCTTTTTTTTTTTTTTTGCAGCTTGTCTTTTTCGCTTCAACTTGCTGTCACTGGTTTACTTCCTCTATCTCCTGCTGTTGCCATGGTTCCTCGGCCCAAACAAATACACAGTCAGAGGTAAGATCATGTCAGGACGTTCAGTAACGTCCGTCTGTGACGAGCTGGCATTGAAATCCAGCATAGGTGTGAGGTCATCAGCAAAGAACTCACTGAACAAGGGAGGGGCGGCCTAGTGGTTCGGGCATAGAGCTTGGAATCCTGAAGTTGTGAGTTCAAAACCCACTCCCACAGACTGCCACTCTGGGTCCCTGAGCAAGACCATTAATCTCAAACTGTTTCCGGGACGCCGCACAATGGCAGCCCACTGCTCCCCAAAGGGGTGGGTTAAATACATTGTTAGATCAATACATTTCAAATTCTATATTTTTTATATTTCTATATTAAAAACTAGATTAGGCCTATGGGTTAATGGACACACATCCATCTTTTTAGTATGTTGTAGAGTTTAGAAAGATAAAACAAATGTTAATCTGGCTGTTTTGTTAAAGCATTTTCAGTTATAACCCAGATCATCTTAAAAATATACAGATCAACTTAGCAGAAATCAGACTTCAAACGCATTTTGTTAATAAATACAAATGTTTGTTCCAGTTTGGTAAAGAATTGGTAATGCTGCAATATCAAGTGAAGTTTATTTTTCTCTAACGTCTTATAAAAGAATTAACACCAACAATAAAAGTTATTTAATATCTGTCTTTCATTTGCGGTTTAATTGTGGATAACACTATACATTCTAAGCAACTAGCTATAGGTTAGAAAGCCTGGCTGTTTGAAGGAATAATGGACCATTGAGTTCTGCTGAGAAGCGGAGCTGAAGGAGAGGATCTGAAGAGAACCGACAGAAGCTTAAAACCCAGGCTGTAGCGTCTGACCCGGTTGGTCAAAGCTCAGAGAATAATGTCCTCTGCTGAGCAGCTAGAGCTGCAAGATAGAGGACGAGTACATCATCATCATCATCATCATCATGCATCTTGGAGAGATGTGGTGCAGAAAAAACCCTTCAATTAAAAACAATGCTTTTTGAAACATGTGGAAAACCTGCAGGACAACCAATGACTGCGGAGCATGCACCCCTATTAAAAACAAAAAAAACAAAAAACCAGCTCACACCTCTGGCAGCTTCCCCCTGGAAGTACAATAGAAAACCAAAGACCAGGAAAACAAACAGGATGTTCTTTCCAACATAATTCAGTTTGTTCTCTGTGCCAAATGGCATGATCATAAACCCAACATGACGTCTTTGAAGTGATTCACAGGCGTAGAGTTGATTCCCCACTGGGCATTTAACATACTTTCAGGTTCAGAAAATAAACATCTTTAGGGAAATTTAGAGGCACGATTGAATCCAAATAGATTCTCAGTGGACTGATACTCCTTCCATACCAATATCATCGCTGCTCAGAGCTCATTGGGATGTTTAAAAAGCTTTGGGAATTTTTTTGGATCCAAATCGAGCTTCAAACGTCTCCTCTACAGTCTCTCAGACCTGCCTGGTGAGTTCCTTGTTCTTCATGGTGCTCTCTGCTCTTTAAACAGAGCTCTGAGTCGATCACAGAGCAGGAGCATTTATACAGATTATACAGAGGTGGATTCCATTGACCATCATCAGTCATTTAGCTCAACACTGGATCATTCAGAGATCCTCACTGAACCTCTGGAGGAGATTGCTGCACTGAAAATAAAGGAGCAGATTTATTTTGCCGCCCCATGCTTTAGCTTTTTATTTGTTAAAAAAAGATTTAAATTTAACATAATTTTGTTCCATTCTATGATTGTATCCCAATTATAGGTTCTTTACAAAAAAAATACAATTGAATATATTAGTTTTTTTGGTTGTTTTTTTAATACATTTTATTTTAAGTTTTCAAGGTTTAGAACATACAGATAGACAGACAGAACAAACAGAACCCAGATGCACAGATCATATATAAAACATTCCAGTTGGTAAATGGTATACACCCCTATCAAATGTATTCATAGTCACCTGAGAATATATACACCCATTGAGGGGTGACCGAGGGGAGAGTCCATGGAAAAGTTTGTTCAGCTTAATCTAGTTTGTGAGAAGCGTTCCATGAAGGGCTTCCAGTAGTATGAAAAAGTGTCTTTAGAGTTTTGACAAAGTCTTTCCATCTGAATTATTGACATCATGTCCGTCACCCAAAGGAGAAATGAAGGGGGAGCAGATGACCTCCAGTCCCTCAGGATTAATCTCTTGGCAACAATCAGTCCCAGCTCTAATGGTTGCCGCATTGCAGCGGGTATAGTCACCTGCACCCAAGGGCATCCGAAAATGATGTCCTGGCTTAGGTTGTATGGGAGTCTTGTATGCCTTAGAGTATCAATCAAACACCTGACCAAAGACCTGTTAATGAAAGATGGACCAAAAATCATGAGATAGTGTTCCTTCACAAATGTTACAACCAGTCTTACATTGGGGAGACAGGAATGTATTTATGTTTGAAGCCTGAAATATGGCAAAAGGTCCTGCTGAGAACTGCTGCACACAGGGAGTCCATGGAGGTTGTCTAAAACAATAACAGAGAAAGAGATTCACAAGAAGACGGATACAACAAGAAAAATAGTGTTTTTTTTTATTTC